GGCTTTGCCCCCCCCCCCCCCCCACCCCCGAAGAGAGCACACAGGAGGGTGCCAGTAGCACGAGGGCCCTGGTTTGTGCGACAACCAACCAGCCAGCCTCAAAAGTGACCCTCCTTCCTTCTCACCGCCCTCAAACCGGACCACCCGCAAGCGCACGGCACGCGCGTGTGCGCCTGCGGGTTTTATCGGGTTTCAAAACCCATAAATTGTTCCTTTTCACACAATGAAACATGACTACTTGTTGCCTGATTTCCACATTGGACTGCAGGTAAACACACTAGGAAATTGATGGATTGTGTGGAGAACAAATCGCACTGTTTTACTGCTGCTTTCTGTAGATCAACAGAGCTCTCGCCCAAATTGGTGCTAATTAATAATTTCCGATTCAGAGAAATGTTGACTTTTACCTCTTTATACCAGGAATTAAAAGGAGGATCGTGATCTGTCTGAGATCTGATTGTCGAAGACCATTCGTGTTGGAGCAATAAGAGGGTGATATCAGTTTAATGCAGAAGTAACCTCCGTTTATTACACTTACTTTGAGTAGTGGTTATTGTAAATTTGTCACTCATTATGGTTCCTGATGTCAAATTAGATAATTTAATGAGAGTTCAACTGAAATTGTACAAATTTTACTTTAAGCAAAAATGTTAAGCGATTGTTTCCTTTGCACTAACCGCTTTATTCTTCCAGTGGGTTTTGACTCGAGTGGGCGAATGCCGTGGCGGGCACGGTGGGTCAGTCGGTCGGTCTGTGACCTTGAGGTGACACGGGTCGCAGCCTCAAGTGGCCGCGGTGTTCCCTGGCAGGGTCCCCGCAGTGTGTACCGGTTCGGCGCGGAAACCCGAAGTCAGTCACTACTTTCGAGTCGTTGTTGAGTTGGAGACTTCACACTCGACGAAGAAAACGCGAATTTCGCTCGCATGTACACCTCAAGAAACTTCGTCTGAAGTTTGTGTAGTATCGGATGCTTAAATGGCAAATGTGCTGACATCTGAAAAAGTTCACTTAAATAGGAGTATGTGGCAGCCGCGTGAGTCCAGCGGAACACACTCTGCCACGCAGGCCGCTTGGAAAGAGGACTGGATGAGTCGAAATTTTTTATGGTTGCGTGTTTCAAAGCCAGGTTAAGTAATTCCCACAGGACTTTGCAATCCTTAGTTCTTCTACCTTGTTCAGGCATTATTCTATCACGAACGCTTTAACTTGCTGGGTTAACAGCGAAATTCCTGAGTGTCAGCCGGCGAACCTCCCTTGTTCATTTGCTCTGATTAGGACATGTCAATGAGCAAAACCAGCAAACCACATGTTAACTGAGATTATGAGATTGCATTGTTACGTCAAATCGGGTCGATTTTAGGGAGCTATTTTTACCCCCACGCCCATTCTTCGCCTCCCCCTTCCTTCCTTCCCTCCCTTCCTCCCCCCCTCCAGTAGACTTCGCTCCTCGGGGGTGTCGACGCGGGGTAATCAGGCGTGGCAAAAAAAAGAACACACCAAGGACCAGACGCAGAGGTAACTCGAGAGGAGATTTCAGGTGGCCGTGTCGGCAGAGCAGCTTTGATCTCCCAGCAGTCGCACCACCCACCCGCCCGACTCCCTTTCCCAAACGGAATTGAGGGAACAGGCGCGCGTGGCAGCAACCCCGGCAGCTATTCAGTCAGTGTACATGGGGAGGACGCGTATAAACTCACCAGCGCCAAAACGCAGCGCGGAATCAATCAGATGATATCAATCAGAGGTGGAAGGGCTTGTGTGGGAGAAGCTAGATGCAGTGGGGACAATTCGTTCACGTATTTCAAGCTGATACTGCCAAACGTCGCAAGGGATTGTTGATTTTGCCAAAAACTAGCCAATCACGTGTGCCTTATGGACAATTAAAAGTACATATTATTCGCATAGCAAACATGTTTGACTTCCCATTTTACGTTATAGTTACATATTTCGACCCGTGTCCTTCTAAAAGTTGTGTAAAAGAAATCAGAATTTTATACTTGATTGCTCATTTGTCTATTGTTAGAGGCCCAGATAAACACTACATTTACTAAGTCCTGGAGTCATATCTATTGGAAACTGCCACAGCCTACCCACAGACTAACTCGTATTGGTTCCAAAGCTTGCTTACCACAAATGCAAAAGTGTATCACTGCAGATTTGCCAAATGGCAGACAATTGGGGTTAAAAAATGTTTTTAGAATTAATTAGCTGTATCAAAGTCCTACCTAGTTTTGACTTCAAAGGTAATAACCTCCACTTCATCTACTCCAACTTCGTTGATTTGGGCAGGCATCGCTCCCACACTCAAATTGCGCATTAGATGAATAATCAATTCTGTCCGGCAACATTAGAGTAAGACTACAGACTTCTGCAAATCAACAACGAGGAAGTGTTAGAATATTCCGTTCGCCCTCTTTATCCAAATATTAGTAGACATTGGTAAGTTCTCACAATCTCCGGAATTTTAACAAGTTTCGATCATCAATAAAATGCGTATTTTAGAGTGCTCGTTCTTATGCACGTTCCGTCCTGTGGTTTAATCGCAATTTCCTATTTTGATAAAAGCGGCCATGCTACTGCACGCTCGACTTCTAAATGTTTCATGAGCTAATCTTGGAAACGACGGCTAACACCTCCCTAGAATCAGCCACTCAGCGTTACTGAAGCATGTGATTCGATGACTCCATTAGTCTTGATGTGATCTTGTAGCCGATATCAGCATTTAGGGGGTTTAAAAAGATCCAGGTTGGGCAGAATCGTTGAGCAGATGATGGATTGAGGGGTAAGGAAAAGCGGCCAATTATCAAAATCGACTCATGCCAGATCGTGCGAAAAGTTTGGATTCAAATATTCATCAGGGTAGCGTTCGTGTTCTCCATAGGGGTTTTGCTGTGAAGGTGGATGTGTGTCAGAATGTAAGTGGTTTACAACGCGAAGAACAGGGTTAGTAAGCATTTAACACCTGAATCTAAGCAACTTCTAAAAGACCTCCCGTTTTGGATCAAAGGGCGCATTCCCGTACATTTTTTGTGAAAATATATTTGAATTCAAATCGGCTAAATAATTACCAGGTCTTTGGTTGCTTGTTGCATCGACTTGATTATTGAGACCCTTCTTGCGGACTACATGTCTTGATTTTGCGAGAGTAGAAGGGGCTGCGGTGGTGAGCATAAGGGAGTGAGTGCCTCAGATGAAGGTGCGTACACACTGTAGCGTACTATGGGGCGCATCAACTAGCTCTCTCTTCGGGCGAAAGCAACGAAAGCATTCACACACACACGCACACATGAAAGGATGCCGCCGAAATACTGCCAGACACATACAAACACCGAAGCACAAAGGCGAGCCGACTTCAAATGGGCACAAAATTATGCAACCGAGTGTGCGTATTATTATGACGCGCATGCTTTTGACTCAAATCCCGTCCGTAAAACGCACGCGCACACACACGCAGGCGAGTGGGAGGAGCAGGTGGGAATGAACTCGCTGAGTGACACTCAACGTCGCTTTGTATTAAGGCGATATGAACAGCAACTCACCGCAGAATCGAAAAGAAACAAGCAAAATGCAACTCAGCACTAGGGGCATGGACTCGTCATTTCGAGCCCTTTCTGAGGGTTTTCACTGGAAACTAGTCAAAAGGAAATAATGATGTAAAAACTTAAGTTCCACAACATTAAGCTAGAATCATTACAAAACACATGAATGCATATTTGAATGGAAGGACATTCATTGGTACTAATTATTTCAGAGATATCTAATTTAATCGAAGTACTTATTATATAGTTAAAAACAGCGTGAAAATACACGGTTTTCCCGTGAGATAAATCTACTTAAGGAACCCGAGTATTAGGGACCAAATGGCCTACTCGAGTAAACATAGGCATTACTTGGTTTAATCAACTTCTGTGATCTACTTTTTTGTCTTAAATGAAAATCCACTTCTATTACACGAGGACTGATTGACGATTTCTGTTCAAATTTTATCTACAATGTGCTCGTGGTTTAAATGAGACAAGTACATTCGATTTTATGTACCTTGCATGCAGATGGACCGCGCTTGAATTCATTTTACGAGCGAAGTAAAAGCGTTCACTTGAGCAACTGAATTGTAAAATCCCCTGTTTGTTGATTAATAAAACGGACAAAATAATTGCGCTATGTCTTTTGGTTGCAGTAGTTTTATCAGAAACCACAGACCCACCAAATTGGTTCCTCCAAAAGAAAATAAAAAAAATTAAATTAGAAACGTAAAGTGTTACTACTGTGTCATCAATGTTCATTGCACGTGCTTGTGTGACAAAGTCAGTTGGCTTCTTTAGAAATCTAGCATTATATCGAACAGTTGAATTACATTATTCAGGAGAAGACAATGGGAATACGGGATTGTAAAATTGACAATTTTTCCGGAGTCTGGTTACGACGCGGATTAAAGTTATCAGTTTTATTTACAGATGAATGCCAGAACGGTACGAGCCTAGTGGCCCCTCGCTAGTGCACTCGCCGCAGTGATCGACTTCCACGGGCATCTATAAGCAGTGTTTTAGTTCTGTGTGAACTCGCTTACTAACATTATCCATTCGAACGCCTGTGTTCTCTACAAATTTATTTTCGTGTTTTGCCTACACAGCGTTTGCATGGGTTCCTACCACTGTTGGCGAACAGATATCTAGTGTGTTTAACGGAAATTGTGAATTAGATATATCGAGTGGCATTGTGTTGTTAACCTCTTATCACATCTTAAAATTTTGATGTGCGATATGCAGTTTTAATCTCAACCGAATGAAGTCATCATGCTTAACTGATTTGCCTCCCATATTCATTTGGAACGTGTATATATCGTAATAGAAATCTCTGGTTATCATTTGAATAAGACATCAAGCATCGAAAAAGTAGTTTGCGGCACTGAGATGTAGGGTAAATATTCGGTGATTCACAAATCGCAAACCTTGTCCGGCATTGTCACTCTAAATGAGAACTTAGTGTCGATTAAATTAGACAACTTAATTTTGCCTTCTCCAAAGTTGGGTTTAGCGTGCTCTGTTGTGATGGTATAAACTGAGAAAATATGCGAGCACATATTAAATACGCGACTTTTAAAGCGCTACTTGGTTAAGATTAAAAAAGGGATTTCCAATCAATTGCTTCCAAAAACTAAGATTTCAGTTTAGTTTGTTAATGAATATCGGGAGATTGGTTTACGTAAAATCATGTTGCGTAACACACTTTGCCCGTTTTCTATCATGTTGGCGAAAACGAAATAAACTGAGAAAGTCGAACAAGACCAGCGTGCTGTTTTAAAGGCGAGTCAAATGCTTTAGTGAATTTTAGCACAATACTATCACTTCAAATTGGCAGGAACTGCATATTTCTAGCAATTCTCTTAAAAATGAACGTGTGCTTTTTATGACGGAGACACGTTTGCCAAAAGCATTCCGGCACACAGTCAGTTCAGGCAGGCTGAATAAGGAATCTCTAGTAATGGTGTGCGAATGAGTGTAGGTGCTCAATGAGTCCCAATGCAAATTTCGAACTGTGCTGTAGTGCGGTCATCCCTAGCAATAGGGAGACTGTGGCTAGTTTAATGGAACAGGGATGCAACAAAGGAGTCACAGAAGTAGGTTCTCTGCTGTTGTGCCCCTCACGAAGATCCATTAATGCTGATCAAGTTGGCCGCTTGAGAATGAATTGTGGTTCTAAACCAATTTCTCTGCATGTAGCGAGCATTTCCCTTCACTATATTTGTACCGACCTGATCCATTAGCTTTGAGAGCACATTTTTCCTTTTACCAACATCGGGGTTTTTGGAAATTCAACGGGACATCTAATTGATCTCTTTAGAGCGGCTACATCAGTAAAAGTTTTATTTGTACTAAAGAGGTGGTCAATGTGATAAACCACACGCTCCACTTTTAGCAGATTGGTAGAACCTTTTGGAATCTCCCGCCGCCTGGGGTATTTAAAATCCCTCCGCATAACGTTTGGTCAAGGACGTGTGCATGCACCATTCGGTCACTCGTAGTTTATTTTGAATGGACTTCTTCACGGCGAAGTTAATTTTATGATCATGGGAAATATAGGCGTTTAAAAGGTCGCCTTCACTTGGGCTCTAATGTGCGAAGTAAATTTTAACTGACTTTTGAAATAACCATTGTGGTAGTTTGTTTAAAATGAGACCGAATAATTATGAAAAAATTCACTATCTCAAGGTCCTGTATTCATGTGGGAATGCAACTCCCCTTACCTTTAGCAAATGTTGTGTCTTTAATGTAAATTAGCTTCTAGTCTTGTAAAAATTTTTACGTGAATTGGATTTCACGGATGCCATAGTATCGACAACTGGAAAGGAGTCAATCATTGTATGCTCACACAATGGGATTTCGACAAGCTTTAAGAAAGCAAGTGTTGCTAGTTGATAACTACTCATATGCAACTGCTGATGAACATATTGTTGGCTTAGCTTGGTCTTCTACCTCAATATAATCCAATTTAGAATTGGTACTTTGATTAAACCACAGGGACGTTTATAGAACCATTAAATTAAAATGGCGGAAAATTAACTTTTCTGTCGTCGAAAAAATAATAAATACACAGGTTTAGTGCATACAATGCCTCCACTTTTAGACAAATCCCCAATTATATTACAATGCGAATCACATAAGGGTGGAGAATGATCCAATGTTGTTTTTAAGCTAATAACTTTCAATTGCTAGTGCCATTGACTTCATTTTTTTCTTTAAACTTGTGGTGGACGGCTCCTCTAAACTAAAATGTCGAATGATATGCGGTCTGTTGTGGTTTAGAACTGCAACAAATTGGTTTGAAAAACGATTTCTAGC